ATTGGACTTATTGCTGATTTGAACTTTCAGCGACGAGTGTCATCATTTTTTGTGCAAAACGTTTTGATTTTAAGACTACCTAGTGTATTTGATAGTGATAACGTTCATATATAAGGTAATGTCATTAGCATTAATAAATGGACGAGTTATATGAATCCGGCCATTCGAAGAACGGATCTCCTCTTCCCTATGTTATGTATATGTCACTTGTGTTGTGCAGCTTTTGCTATACTGAGGCGTTGGCACGTTTAATACAGTTTCCTTGTTCCAACTGTTTAATTCATCCTAGAAATGGCGGCTGGACGGCGGAGTTTCTCTTTATTGTTTTGTGTTACACGCTGTTCCACAACTGAGTTTTATTGTCCTTTCCTTCTAATTATAAGGACGGACGTCGTGTGACCCTCGGCTTCGGCCTGCAGGCCATGCACGTCGCCGCCTCTCCCGGGCCCAAGCTAGATATGACCAGGTAGCTCCACTTCCATTTAATCTGTTGAATCCTAAAATGAAATTGACTTTTTTCCAAGAGTATTTTGACGGTTGTTAATGTTAACGAACTCCTTGTCATCACAAATAAAAGGTGAATTTTGTTTTCATCTCTGACTAAAGATGAAGACATCATTACCTCCTCCCCTTTTTGAGCCTGTAATTTTGTGCAATATTTTATGGTAAGTGATATTCATTGTCTTCTTTGGAAATAGTTCAATAGTAACAAAGGTAAAAAATAAGAAAACAATATTCGCAATGTATAAAAGCAAAGAAGTGAGGCTTATCTCGGAAGTTGCCAAATAGTATTTCCATTAAGATGGAGTGGGGCTGAAAGGTGTGTGTGTGTGTGTGGAGGGGGGAGTGATTAGTGAACAATAAAACTGCTGGAGTTTTGTATTTGGAAAACATGTCTGTATGACTGTTATCTCTTTATGTGTAAGCTCCAGAATTCAAAGTAAAAAAGCATCATTCATTTGACATCACGGGCAATCTAAAACTAGTTACTTACATTTTCTTATTTGCGCTACAGGAACTTAGAATCAGATCAGACTGGTAGCACACACAGTAGTTGCTACAACAGGGGGCAGGCGAGAGTGATGTCCTGGACAGATCTGAACTCCCTCCAGGGGACCTGCACTCTACTCTCACACTTTTTTTTTATGCTTTTCAGAATACCTGTAATAGTGTTATACAATATTATAGCTAACTGTAAAGAGAAATTGATTGTAATATTTTATTGTATTATAACCTTTTATCATTTTTTAAATTCCTCATGTATTATATCACGTGAGGAATAACCAATTTTGGTATGGATGGATTGCTCCCACCGCTAACACAATAGGTGTAGGAATTATGGCGACCCCCCACCCCCCCAAAAAAAAAAAAAAAATCTTGGCATGGAAGGCACCAGGGGTAAGATATGAATAATAGATATAATAATAATAATAATAATAATAATAATAATAAGCTACGACCCTCCTCATGGAGGCTACCGACCCCCAACCTGCCGTATTCACTGCAGAATAGAGCGTATGCCTGATGACCCCCCCCCCCCCATTGATAATATATAAAGATATGTAATGCAGATTTGATAATTTCATATTCAGTAGACTGCCTGAAGTATACTGAATCTCATTTTGAAAATTAGTATACCTATCTAAGTTCGATATTGCCAGCAATGAGTGGTGAAATAAGAATTTGATCCCATTGCTGAAAACGAACATGCCAAATGAGCGAAGCATCAGCTGAAGGCCTCCTTTCTGCTTCCTCTTTTCTATTGTCACGGGGACAACAAAGGCCTGCGTCCTCCTCTGCCTGTAGAAGTGTCACTTCTTCAGTTAGATTGAAAATACGATTTCGGCGAGACTTCTTCAAGTAGAGTAATAAAAACAGAAGTAACATTACATTTTCTGGAGGAGATTCACCTCCAGCGGACGCAGCGCGCGTCTGGAGGAGAGGTGTTTCTTGCCCAGCCCTGGAGACGGGCGGCAGGCGCCCTCTGCGCTCGCCGTCGAGCTGTCGTCTAGAGGCGCGCGGCCTGGGAACCGATGCAGTCACCTCGAAGAGGCGAGACCTCCCCTAGAGGTTAGGGAACCGCGTGCGAATCGACCCGCGGCGGGATGGGGCGGCCTCCCGCACGGCCTCGCCTCGAATGAGAGGCCGAGGGAGGACGGCCCACGCATCTTCCTTGACTCTGCAGAGGCTGCCGCCGTGCACGGACAACTGCCTCTTTAGTGGGAGTAGGCCTACGAAGAGCTTTGCCCGAAGCTTATATGTCAATCTAGCCGGGGACTCCTATGTGGGCCGAAACCCAGCACGATCCCCTCTGGTAATGCAAGGCAGCACTCTCACTTTTCATTTCATTTGATGTAAGGCCTATGACGAAGATGTGTTCAGACTTTAATTTTTCTGAGGAACTGGACATGATTCTTTTCTTGAAATTGCATATCATATCTAAGTTTGGATTCATAGATATCCTCTTTATCGGATTGTTATTTCAAGTATTATTGTATTT